ATATATATATATATATAATGTATAACATAATAATAGTGTTATTCGTTATCTTTTATTTAATCTTTGCTTTTTGTTTGCCTTTCTTCTTCTCTCCTTCAGGGAATTCGACTTCGTCTCGGAGAACGATGCGCTGCTTACGGTAGGGTTTAGGGTTTAGGGTTTAGGGTTTAGGGTTTATGGCATGCTGTGCTTATCTCGGTTAGGGGTTATATATAATAACATTGTATATTTGCATTTTTTATTGTATTTTTACTTCTTTTTCCTTCTTATTTTTTATAGATTATTTTATTTATTTTTATTTTTATTTTATTTATTTTTTTGTCTTTTCTTTTTTCTGGTGTATGTACAGCGGGCAGTAGAAGAAGATCGTTATCAAGGAATAAGGAGAATTCATGCCCAAGTATCACAGGTATATTTATAAATATAATTTATTTAAATTATTAATTATTTATAATTTAATTATAATTATAATTTAATTATAATTATAATTTAATTATAATTTAATTTAATTAAATTTTAATTTCATTCAGTTTCCACTGAATGGCGATATGCTGCTGGGGTGTATAGGCAGCTCTGGGGTGTATAGGCAGCTCTATGGTGTATTTAGACACATTGATCTTTTTGTATTTTTACAAGGAATTATTTTATTTTATTCTTTTTTTTAGGCAAATCATATATTTAAAGATTTAGCAAATTTAATTTTCTCTCAAGGAGAAACATTAAATTCAATAGAGACGCAAATGCAGGATGCGCATGAACATTCAAAGTAAGGAAAGGAAAAAGAAGGAAAAAATAGGAATAAAATAATTAATAATTATTTATTTTTTCCTTAATTAATTATATTAATTATTTTATTCCTCTTTCTTTCTTATATTTACTTCTTTTTTGTTCCTCCTTCCCACCTTTATTCCTCCTTTATTCCTTTATTTTTTTTTTTCCTTTTTTTTCCCCTATAGGTCTGCTGCTGCAGAATTACGTAAACTAAGCAGACGGCAACAACGATCAAGGCAAAGGTAATTTTCTTTCTTTTTACCCCCTTATAAATAAATAAATAAATAAATATATTATAATAATACAGTTAAATAATATTATTAATTCTTTCCTATGTGTGTATGCAGGCGCTGCTTTTTATTATTATTTATATTTGCCTTATCTTTCTTAATATTATATACATTAAACTTTTTCTCTATTTTTGCTCTTTTTTCTTCTTCTTCTTCCTCCTCTAAGGAACCATTAGCTGTTGCTGTTGTTAGTCCTTCATCTCCTCCTCCTCCTCCTGCTGCTGCTGCTGCACCTGCTGCTGCTGCTCCTGATTCTGGTGCCGGTGCGGCTGCCGGAGCAGCAGGACCAGCAGCAGCAGATGTTGCTGTAGCACGAGGAGTAGTGACAGCAGCAGGAAGACCTGCAGCAGCAGCAGCAGCACCAGGACCAGCAGCAGCAGCACCAGGACCAGCAGCAGCAGCAGCAGGAAGATTTGATTTGCCTGTGGCTGTATCGAGGTTCCAACCGCAGTTACCTCCGTAAATTTATTTCTCTTATTTTTTCTTTTTTTTCTTTTTTTTCTTCTTCTTTGCTTCTCCTTATTCTTCTTTTCTTTATCTATTTCTTCCTCCAGCAGACAGGGTGGCTGCTGCTGCCTTCTTGGGCTGTATTGAGGTGTACGTACACTGCAATTTATTGCTGCTGTATAGTGTGTGCGTACAACCTTGAATATATCTGCATGCAGCAGCATCAGCAGCAGCAGCAGCAGCAGCAAATGGCTGTTTATATCTCTTTCTTGTCTCTTTTTCTCTCTGTATATTTATTATTTCTTGTTTAGTTTTATTACTTCCTTTGTTTATTATATAAGCCTTCCTGCTGCGCTGCTAAGGGAGATACAACCAACTGCAGCAACAGCAGCAGCAGCAGCAGCAATAGCAGCAGACAGGTCTGCTGGCGTTTTTTCTGTACATGACAGTTTCCTTTGCTGATCCAGCTGCAGCTGTTGCTGCCGCTGCAGCAGCTGCAGCAGCAGCAACAGCAGCATCTGCTGCTGCAGCGGGCTTTGGCTGTTATTTGGCGTTTGTCGCCTTAACTATGTATAGAGCGGTTGTGTCAATATAATTTACTTATATTTTATTGAATTTTCCTTCATTAGGTGTACGTACACTGCAACATAGGAAAGAAACTAGAGAGGAAGTAGATCAGATAGAGTGTACGACTTAGGGTTTAGGAAGTAGATAAAACTGCGGTGTATTTAATACCATTTATAGACAAAAAAAATAATAAACAAAACAAGAAAAAGAACAATAAACAGTACTAGTGGAGGGGAGGCTTCCGTCCTACAAGCAGGGAGGGTCACCAGGCCAGTCGGTGGAGAGAAGGGGAAATAATAGTATAAAAAAATTAAATAATAATTATTATTTGCTTTTATTTATTTAATTTAAATTAAATAAATAATTGTGTTTAGTGAGGGAATGCTCCCCATTCAATATAATTATCCCTTTATCTCAAGTTATTCTACGTAGAGTGTCATCCCGAGCCAGAGGGCGGATGGACTCAATAGATGATTTAAATATGCATTAAATAAATATTCACCAATTTGTTTTATTTGTTTTAATTGAATAAATCGTAAACTCTGCATCTTTTTTAATTTTTTTCCATTATCTTCAGGGCAAGGGAACCCCTGCTCAACCAGTGGTCACGCCAGTGTGCCTCTGCAAATATCTTTTTCTTTTTTTGGTTAAAGTTGTATTTTTATTTTTTCTATATTAATAAATAACTAGGGTTAATTATTTTAATTAAATATTTACAAAAGGAACGAAGGAGCGAATATAGACAAGGGCCTGCACACACCGTTTCGCTTCCCCCCAGCCAGCAGCGATCGCGCGTGTCAGGTGTATAGGCAATTCATGTTGTTGCAGAGAAATTGAATGACAGAAGGAAATCAAAAATAAATTTATATAAAATTATTTGTGGCTGTTGTTTTTTGTTTTGAGGAATTATTGGCAACTTGATGACCTTTTATTTGTGTTGAATCGCCCGTATTTCTTTTGGTATATTTGTACTCTTATTCACAGGTTTCCCTCTTGAATTCCTTTTCTCGCCCGCTCGTCACCCCCGATCTTCCTCATTCTTGTGGATATTTTCCTCCCGTTTTCACTTAATTTGACTTAGGTTTATATTGTATTACATATTCCTCCTTAATTTCAGCGAAAAGTGCAAAAATGGTGCGTTGCGCACCCCTCTTGTTGCCCGTTGTGGCTGCGCTCTTAACCGCGCACACAGCACAGGCAGCAGCACCATCGCCTCTTGACCTTCTTTCAACTACAATCACAGAACTCAGCAGAGTCATCACAATGCCCTTTGAGATTCTCCCTGGTCTTATCACAGGAAGACGCCCGGTAAGTTCTTAGGGTTTAGGGTTTAGGGTTTAGCGGAATATGAATGGACGTTTAGGGTTTAGTGTTTATGATTTGTACTCATTTATATGTATTTATATATACATAAAGAGGAAGGAATACATTTGTACATATTAAATAAATTATTGTTATTTTTTTTCCTTTTGCTGCTGCAGTTTTCTGTTAATGAAGAAGGAAAACGAACTCCTTCCTCTCCAGAAGATGAGCAAGGAACAGCAGTATATAATAGAGAGAATGAGGGAGAACGAAGAGACAGGGATCAGCAGCAAGAAGAAAACGAGCAGCAGCAGCAGCAGCAGCAGGAGGAGCGGCAGCAAGCGGTTGTTGGCGCTGAAGAAACAGAGAACCTCTCGGCGCAGGAAGTGCGTGAGGAAGTAGTAGAAGAACCACGCGAAGAAGAAGAGCAGCAGCAGATGCAGCAGGAGAAGGAGGAGCATGAGGAGCAGCAGGAGCAGCAGCAGCCGCAGCAACAGGAGGAAGATTACATGCTAACGGAGGAGGAGCAGCAGATGGACGAACAGCAGCAGGAGCAGCAAGAAGAGGAGGAGCAGCGGCAGCATCGGCAACGACGAGAGGAAGAAGAACAACGTCAGCAGCAGCAGCGTGAGCAAGAAGAGCAGCGGCGCCAGCAGCAGCAGCGTGAACAAGAAGAGCAGCGGCGCCAGCAGCAGCAGCGTGAGCAAGAAGAGCAGCGGCGCCAGCAGCAGCAGCGTGAGGAGGAGGAAGAGCAGCAGCGTCGAGAACGCCAGGAGGAGGAAGAGCGCAGGCAGCAGCAGCAGCAGCAGCGGGAGGGAGAGGAGGAGGAAGGACACCAGCAGGAGCAGCGGGAGGAGGAGGAAGAGCAGCACCGTCAGCAGCAGGAGCAGGAGGAGGAGGAGGAAGAGCAGCACCGTCAGCAGCAGGAGCAGCAGGAGGAGGAGGAAGAGCAGCACCGTCAGCGGCAGCAGCACGAAGAGGAAGAAGGTGATCAGCACCGTCGGCACCAGGAGTACAGGGGGGAGGAGACTGAGGAGGAGAGGGAGGCAGAGGCAGCAGCAGCAGCTGCTGCTGCTGCTGCTGTTGCTGCTGAGGAAGAATATGAAGAAAGAGAAGAAAGAGAAGAAAGAGAAGAAAGAGAAGAAAGGACAAGATCTACTTCTTTCCTTAATCCTACTGTACGTACACCACAAACAACAGCAGCAGCAGCAGCAGGAGATGCAGCAACAGATGGTGCAGCAAAGGGAGAAGGAAAAGACAAGACAGAGAACGAAGAAGAAGATAAATAATTTATTTATTTATAAATAAATAAGAAAATAAATAAATTATTTTTTTTCTTATATAACTAATATATTCATGTATATACATATATATACATATATATAAATAATACATATAGATATATATATATGTATATTATATATAAAAATAAATTAATTAAATTAATTAAATTAATTAAATTAATTAAATTAAATAAAATTAAATAAGAGGAAATTAAATTAAAGTTTACTGCTGCTAGCAATAAATTATCTTTTTTCTTCCTGTTCCCTCTGTCTGTACACCTCAATAATAAAATAAATAAAATAAATAAATAAATAAAAAAATAAATAAATAAATAAAAATAAAAATTAACATTTTATTGTAAACAAAGGGCGATTCTTTTTTTTACTTACTCAACTAAAAAAATATAAAAAAATGTTTATTCGTATTTATTTCTTATTTTTTCTTTTTATTTATTTATTCTTATTATTTTAGTCTTTTTCTTTTTTTCCTTCTTATTCTTATTCTTTTTCTTTTTATTCTCCCTGTTATTTCTTTTTCTTTTTCCTTTTTATGATGTGTTTATTTAGTACTAATGAATATGCATGCAACACATAACTACATAGGCTATACACTGCATTATATAGTTTTGTCTTTTTTTTCTTTAGTTATATCTGTTAATTATAGTTATAAATAGAATTAAAAGGGAATAAAATAGTTAAAAGGTTAATAAGGAGAGAAAAAGAAACAAAAACAAAACGGAAATACAACCTGCATATACACCTGAAATATTGCAACAAAAATGATCATCAATATATACTCTTCTTTTTTTCCTTTTCTATTGTTAGTAAATATAAAAACAAATTATAGTTTTTATTTAACTTTAAATTAAGTTTAATATTTTATTTTATTTTTCTTTGTTTATTACAATGAGAGAGCGGGGCCCCCCCTGACACCACAGGGTGTATATGCAGGTCATAATTCAACAGATAAAATAAAAGAGAATTAACGTTATAATTTATTATTAATTTATTTGCCATTAATTAATTAATATACTTCTTATGTGTTTGTTGACTTATTAATTTAATTATGTATTTCCTCTCTCCTCCGATGGTGATTATCCGCCATATTTACCCCCTTATATTAGATATGCTCCTCTCTGTTTTTTGCGGTGTATATGCAGCGTTTTTTTCTTCTTTTTATCGTTAAATTGTTGTTTTTTTTTCTTATTTTTGTTTATTTAATTATAAAAAGTATTTATTTATTACTTTTTACCACAAAAAGCACAAAATATTGCCAATTAAATACTTTTTTCTTCCCCCCGCTCTATAAACAACCAAGAAACACCACCCCCCCTCTCCCTCCTACATAAGGATATTTCTTTATTTTCTTCTTAAATTCATTCTTTCCCCTCTTTTATTTAATTTTTTATTCTTTTTTATTTAATTTCTTCTCTTTTTATACATAAAAACTCCTTAACACCGTAAAAAATACATTTTTTCCTCTTTTTATTTCCGGTGTATATACACCGCAGCCGACAAAAAGTTGATAATACTTCTTCTTTTCTTTTTTCTTCTTTTTTCTTCTTTTTTCTTCTTTTTTCCTCTTTTTCTTCTTTTTTCTTCTTTTTCTTCCTTATTTTATTTAATTGATTATTTTAAATCCTTTAGGTGTATATACACCAAAGATGCACAGCTACTACAGCTAAGAGGGAGCGTCATTACCTGCTGCTGCTGCTGCTGCTGCTGCTGTTATACTATTTTGCTGCTGCTGGTTTTGCTGCTGCTGCTTCGCTATTGCCTATAGAGAATTTTTATCTACCTTAAACTTTAAAGACACCACAAC